AAATCTCTAAATATTTAGGTACCCCGGGGGAGGCTCAAAGCGCGACCCCACCCCCTGGAAACCAATATATTTAGAGATTTGACTCTTGAAAGATATACTGAACAGTTCACTTGTAACTGGTCGTTACTTGTACGATAACTGCTTACCCGTTACCGTTACCAAGAAGGTCACCTGTTCAGCAGTTACAGTTACCGAGTAACGGTGGTAACAGTAACTGGTAATTGTCACAGCCCTATGTAGGTGTTGAGTGAGTTTATAATCCAACGCTGCACTTCTCCAACTACGTATTATGCCATTGCACTAAATTGTGCAAAAGGAAGAAAAAGGAAACTACGAGTTCTGATGATAATCCGTAGTTTCCTTTTGCATAATTTAGTGCAATGGGAAAATACGTAGTTGCAGAAGTGCAGCGTATGGAAGGCCGGCAGGTCGAATCTAGGAGAAGAACTTCAAAAATTGTTCTAGTTCTTCGAAATGTATTGCAAAATGGTGGCTTTGTTTTAGTTCTGCGAGGAAACACCAAAACTTCGCAAATGCTCTTATTGTTATTATTAAAAATTAAAACTCTAATTGGGACACTTTTATTCTTACTAATTCTTTCAACCCACACGGTACAACGGCTATGCAATTCACTCATAGTAAAGAAAAAATTCTTGAAAGTCCATCATGTCGAAGCTTTGAAATATTAGTCATATGCTCTGTATCTTCACAATATTTTTAAATAATGTATTTTTGTGTATATAGCTGTATTTTTGCGAATGTAAAACATAGTAATTTGTTACTGAACCGTGCGGAAGCAAATATGCAAGGCGGTATCCAGAAAAAGCGAAAGTTCTCAACTAAAGTTATGATTTGGCTGGGAGCATGTTCACAAGGTCTGACACCGTTAGTGATCTTAGATGAAGGTTCGGTTGATCATACGGTTTTGATACCTTTTTCATAGCTTTCATCAGATAAGAATGAAAACTTTTCCGATGGCGTGGCAAGACAATGGCAACTTGTTGTGGATCTTTGAGGATTTCGTACAAGTAGTTAAGGAGAACCATATGAGGAATTTGAAGACGAGGAACTGTGCGATGAAAATGAGCCTCCAAGTAGGCAATATCTCGATCATCAATTGGATTAATGAGTTCTTTGACGATGAAGTTTTCTTCCGAATCCCACGTTGCTGGATAGATATTAAAAAAGTCACCTGCACCCAGTCCGGTGCCTCGTTGAATAGTAAGTGGTAGACCATGATGTTTAGCCAAGTGAACGTTGGCCACTAGACAACATTCAATTCGTGCAAAGAGAGGGGCAAATTCACGAGCGAGACGGTAGGCTACTTGACGTTGATCGAGAGTTCGGAGCACAGGTGAATAATAATCATTAGCTTTGCGAATCATATCGGCATGATTTTTCTCGATCCATTTTTGCATATTCTCTTTGATCAGTTGACTCATCTCTGTTCAATTTTCTCCCAAGTCAAGGAGATGTTCATGTACATCCACCTTTCGTTTCTCCTCTAGTTTTATGAAGTTTAAGGAAAACAAGGAGAGTTTGACTGATTTTGACTGAAGAATGACTTGGGCGATACTTACGCTTTCCTTTATGAAAACACGGTCTAACGAAAAACTCAGGTGATATTCGTGCTTAGCGTAGAATTTAGCGCTAATCACAAATATCAGGGCGTCTGCAATACAGGCATGTAAAAATCGCCCAAGTCATTCGTCAGTCAAAATCAGTCAAACTCTCCTT